GACATTCATTCCGGACTATCATTCCGGACTATCACATGATCATCCGGAGCGCAACCTGGTACACATTTTCGGGTTGCAACGTTACATGTAAGATTTAACTTAAAGAATTTACGCATACTATTTGACATGTTATTATAATAATAATAAGCTTGTACTAATGTTCATATTTAATGTAATCTGAACATCATAAAGTTAAAACATTACGTAGTAATTTTGGGTTAGGTAGTGTTACACCCGAATCTACCTCTTATAAGTTCGGTATAACGGTTTACTATAGCGACGGATATGTTAGATAAATGCCGATTTATGCTTAAGTAAATATAAGGTTTATTGCAGTTACGCTTTTAAGAAGATTATTGTGATTTGCAGTTACGAAAGAGGCAAACGGCTAAATGTATATGAAGATACAAGTAGTCGTATAACAAGTTTACAGTTTATTTATTCAATAAGATACTTGAGTTATTGTTATTTGTGTATGAAGACACTATAACTGATCTACTACTTATTCGAGCGATCCGTGTATGAAGACACGATCACTCTTCTGGGAATTGTTAGTTTTATTGTTTGTTTAATAAAGTATTCGAATTCATGTTGAAGACACGACTACTCCTTTATTATTGAGGCACTTCTTAGTACTATTCAGTGCTACTAATATAACAAGTGCTTTAAATCTAGTGGTATTATCTGTGCTATTTAGCGATAGTTAGTACTATTCAGCACTACTTAGCACTCTTGGCATTAGTGTCACATTACCACCCAATATCACATAATGCTTAATTACAGGGGTTAACAGTAGTAGGTCGATAATTGTCCGTCGCTATGCTCCGGACACTCAATTTTTATGCAATAAGTGATACAAAAATTGCATTTTTTGATGCATGTCGATCGAAATAGTTACTTTTTTGATGCATTTACATTTTTATGAAGATCGTATCAAGAACGTAATTTGAAAATTTTTTGTCTGTCCCGCCGTGTAATATATAGTTATTGGGCGCGTAGCGACCAATAACTATATATTATCATTATCGTTATCGTAATTTTTTTTTTTGTTACGCACAGATCTACAGATCTTAAAATTCTATTGGCTAAACATGATGTATTGTTTGTTACGGTAAAAAATCTGTACTATGAATTTTTACTATTATACCTCATATAGGTTTGATTAATTAGTATATCGGAAGCCCCAGTACAGCGCGGACCACGGTACCCCCCCTGTGCAAAGTACCCCCTATTAAAAAATTTCATGGTGGAATGTAAAATACCCGGGGGATATATCCTATGTAAAAAAGTTTTTCATATGAAAAATCGCTTAGTATAGTACCCCGGGTATTATCCAAAATTTGCCTGTAGATTGTATTATACCCGGGGTACCGTGGTCCGCGCTGTACGGTAATTATATGTACCTATGAATATATGAGTATTATCATTTTATTAATTATATGGCTAAAGTTCGTGTTACATCTCTAATAAAATAAAGATAAGATTGAATTATTTCTTGTTATCTGGCATGATGTGACGGATATATGAGTATACGACAGGATGATAGCAACGCACCCATATATCCGTCACATCATGCCAGATAACAGGAAATTATTTTTCAAAATATAACGATAATAAATATAGTTTCGCTAATAATTTATTCGCATATTGAATTTTTTTGATCAATTTAAGTTTGGGTTTATTAGTAATAAAAATCAATTTACTACGTACGTACATTGCATATCTATCTATATGTTTTTTAAATGTGACAACTTCTTTTTTGCGTGTATTTATTAGTTTGTAAGCTGGTTATAACGAAATTAAATAGTAAATTTTTATATACCGCGTCTAGAGTATACAGATCCGTGCAATTTAAAATGAATAGTGTTAAAATATTGATATTTAGTAATTAGCAAAAAACCATATTATGTGCATTAATCTTTATTATATTGATATTGATCAATATTGTTATTTGCACTAGTTACATTAAAATAGATTAATTTATTACGCATTTGATGTGTCAAAAATGTAATTGCACAGGTCTGAACATTATAACCGCATCCGAACTCTTCTTTACCAGGCCAAGACTATGTCCTCAAAGTCATGTGATTTATATATTCCTATTAGAGACGCGAAAAAGATTACATCACTGATCATATTTATGCATCTATAATCTACATGTCGATTTGTTCTATATAAAAAAACTTCAATATCATCCCGATTTGTCTTGATTCATATTGTCCGATATTATCCCGATTTTAGCTGTATGGTTCTAATCCCGAAGTATTACGTCTAAAAATATACACCAATCATGCCGAAATCAATAACTTAATCGAATCAGTCAAAACTCATCTTATTAGGTTTCAGAGTTTGAAAAGAACTGTCGTATTACCACCCGGGATTAACTAACTTTGTTCAAGATCACTAAAAGTTTTACTAAAAGTTTTATTAAAAAATGGTTAACTTGTATTGCTAAATGCCGGCCGGAATTTTGGGGATCCTTCTGGATGAGTTGTTATTTCGAGAATTTACGGTATACTTAATATTTAAAAGTGCACTTACATTTAAATTTCATATACTTAAAGGTTGGAAGTTTATATCGGCTGATTTGGATAAGCACCCCAGATTAGGGTGCGTAAATTACATATAATTTCATGTCTAATACTAATGATGTGCGTTACTGGTTTCCTTATCAATGTCGATATGTAGTTACGTATTTACTATTTCTTGCAAAATTACGTATTGTTTTTTTTTTTTTTTTTTTGCGATTGTTTTATTACATAAAATTCTGCAACTTTGTTGGTTCCCGATCTACAAAAGTAATCTTTATGCATATGTGTGTCAGTGATAAACGATTTAATTAATAAAATTTCTTGTACACATGATTGTCTGATGATTATGTAATTTAGAGATAAGGATTGCATAAGTTTTTAATTAAATTGAGATCTAACAAATAAAATTTGATTAAATAATAAATATCTAACGCTAATAATGATCATTATTAATAATTCGGAAAATTATATACCCGATAAATATCTTCAAAAAATGTTTTTTAAAGTTAGCCCAAAAACCCAGTGATTATCCCAAGAAATTTATTCGTTGTTAGGGAGCCTGTGCACTCTTAATTTTTTTTTAAAATGTTTAATTTCGACTTGGCACGCGTAAGTTTTTATTCGTTATCCAAAGTAATTTCCGGACTTCGACACCATATTTGGCTTAGATACTTTTACTAATCAGCCCAACGGCCCTATAACAAGCCGTTGAGCGGTATATTCACTGATTGGAAAATTTCCATAAACATTTTAGTATACGATTAGTAATAAAGAAAGCTCGAAATGTTTCTTTTTTTTCTTTAAAAAAAGAAGGCGCTAAAATTCTTTAGGATTCTTTTGCGATTAAATTGGTTTGAAGAAGGTATAATTTCATGCACTTCATCAATCTCGAAGTTATTCGTATCCATATTTATATATTATATCCGAATTATATTGAAAGATCATACTTTGGATTATCAACCCCTGATCGGCGACACATAAAACGTTCTCTTCACTCGTCTACACTAAAAATAAATCCATATTATGTTATAAAAATATATTCATATTATGTTATAAAAATATATTCATATTATGTTATAAAAATATATTCATAAAAAATAGATTTATTAACAATATATTGATTATGTTATAGATAACTGTTTCAATATCGAACAAAATTATAAAATTTCAATTGTTATTCGTGAAGTATCATATGTCATTACGTACGGATCATTAACTTTAAAAGTTTTTTTTTATGTTTCGTTATTCTATGTTGACTAAATTAAATTTGAGGTCGAAAATATATAAAGACAAAGCGATGAATTTTTTTAAAGCAAGGAAAAAACAAATCTCCATCCATCCATCCATCCATCAGAAATATTAACTAATACAATCATTAATACAATCATTAACACAATCATTAACACCATAGCATATAACCATGAATGCGTTATATAAATTCCTAAATAACCTTGAAGTAATTGATATTGTAAACGTCTTTTCGTTGACAATATGTTTTTACTTATTCCGTTTTTATTACAAACATTTTACCCGTGCGAATCCTCTTCCTGGTCCATTACCAATTCCTTTGATAGGAACTTTTGAAATTTTTAGAGCTCATATAGATATTGATGCATGGTTTTATAAATTAACTAAACAATATGGACAAAATGGAATATTTGAATTAAACCTTATTGGTAATAGACAAATAGTCATCACTCGTGCAGAACACGTTAATAAATTTATGTCACCACCATCAGAAGAAAATCACAGGAAACATTTAATGAGAACCGCTAATAATGGACTTTTAGATGTGTTTGATCTTGAATTTAAAGGTGTCGGATTAAATCATAACTATAATTTTTGGAGATTTAATCGTCAAATTTTTTCACACGCCATCAAGACAGCATGTTTATCTGACGAAACGGTTAAAATAGTAAATAAATTATTTGAAGAAATGACAAATCATTGGATGGATTTGAGAAAACCTAATGAGAATTCAGCAATTGTTGATTCTGCAGCTTGGATGCGTAGATTTACAAATGATTTTATTTCCGTAATTACAACTGGAAATCGTACATTTGCGATTAAAAATTATCATCACAAATTAAAAACAAACGAAGTTACAGAAGAGATAATGGAATCAGAGGAGTTTGTTGAATGCATCAGCACCTTCTTTGATGATAATCAAATGATATTTATACCAAAGCTTTTAAGACCATTTCCTTTGATCAGTGGTCGTGTGAATAAAATGGTGAATACACTCGACTATGTATATAAAAGATTGGTAGAAAGAATTAGAAAAAGAAGAAAAGAAGTTGAAAAACTTGCTAACACTAGTAACTTTGACCCATCACAATTAAAGAATGATCTGTTAACTTCCATGGTCGTTGCCAACACACCATATGAAACTACTCCACAAAAAAATGTTGACCCTTCATTATTAAGACCAATGACTGATGATGAAATACGCGGTATTATGTTTGATGCATTTGCGGCTGGCACTGATACTGTAAGTAATGTTATTATCTGTTATGGGTGTTGATAAACACCTGACCTTGTTAATAATTTTTAATTTGTTAATAATTATTAATGATATTTATTATTGATTTATATAGACTTCAAATACATTTTGTTTTGTATTATATTACATTACACATAACCCACACGTTAAAAAGAAGTTATTGGAAGAGATCGAAACTGTTTTCAGAGATGATCCAAATAGACCACTAACAATGGAAGACCTAAACAAATTAAGATACTGTGAAGCAATTATTAAAGAAACATCAAGAATCAGACCTACAGTTAGCATGGTTTCAAGATTCCTTGATCAAACTGATGAAATAGCGGGATATAAATGGCCGTCAGACCTTTTATTCATCATGTATGTTCGTGGAATTAATAATAATCCACTTTATTGGAAAGATCCTGATACTTTTAATCCAGATAGATTTTACGACCTTAGTTCAGTGGAAAATCAACATAAATTTGCTTTCTCAATGTTTGGTGGAGGTGTAAGAACGTGTTTAGGTAGAAACCTTGCAATGATGGAAATGAAAATATTATTGGCTTCACTTTATAGAAAATTTGATGTAGAACTTGTAGATATGAAAGCACCTCTTGACGTCAGAACTTCAACAGTTACTATTTGCAAACATTTAGATGTCAGAATTATCCCTAAATATCAAAATACGCAATAGAACTTATAGCATTTATATTTAGCATTTATATTTTTTTTTGTTATTTTTGATGTTTTTATTATTATATCTCATCTTGCATATTCAATAAAGTACAAAAAACATAAAAGTGTTTCTATAGCATTTATATTTAGCATTTATATTTTTTTTTGTTATTTTTGATGTTTTTATTACTATATCTTATCTTGCATATTCAATAAAGTACAAAAAAACATAAAAGTGTTTCGTTCAAATGACTTGCTCTGAATATATTTCTATACAGTGATACCAAAATTCTATTTGGATAAAAAAAAATATGGCTTTGAATTTTTTTTGTCTATTGTCATTGCTCCGAACCAGAGACGAAAAAATTTGGATCAAAAATTTGCTCAAGTAAATCCAAATATCTATGCATTTTTCAAATATGAGAATACGGGACATTAAATGACGAAGCTCTTGACGAAATTAATTTAACCAATGGATATAAAAACACAGTTGCCTTTCTTTCTTTCAATACCCCACTATCATAATGTAGCTTAAAATGAACTTTGATATAGACTAAGGTACGTACTGTACGTACATACGTAATGTACGTAGGTTAGCCATGTTACCAAAAATTCGGTCCCGTGATCTACAAGCCTTTAAAAAAAGTGCAAATGATGTAAGGGAATAACGATCTCTGGATATATGTGTTGTAAGTGGAAGCGGAATTAAGTGGAAACGGAATTTTTATATAAACCCAGCATTTTGGGGTTGATTTTATCATATTTACACCCTTGCCCTAACCTTAATTTAACTTGGAAATTCCGAATCCACTTAATCCTATTCCCACTTACAACATATGCAAGGGATACGATCTCTGAATATTCCGAATCTTAAAACTGTTTCAAAATCACCGTTATTTAATCATAAAATTTCATCGGTGCATATGAGAACAATGAGAACATAGTGATTTTTTAATTGACAATGAAGGTATAAAAATAGTTAATTCTACAAAATTAAAAAAAAAAATCAAATTTAAGCTTAAATTGGATCTGAACCCGATTTTTTTATCAGTAATTTTGGTTGTCAGATCTATCGGATATATATCGTTATGGCAAATCATTAGCGGTAGGGGTTTCAAAATTAACATATGATTTTGTCAATACGTAACATTGTTACAACGTATGTTGAGTTATATAAATCGGAAAATAAAATAAGGTTCTCCGATCTTAATTTTGAAACTTACGTATTAGTACGTAATGTGTAATTTATTTCTATTATAAAAGGAAATTATGGTTTTTTTTTCTTATTGCATAATTGTCTATGAAGATGGGCTAGATTTTTGTGTTATGTAATCTGCAGTAAGAAATAGTACAGTCAGGAGTTTTTCAAAATTGTGTAACGCAGATCATTTCGATTTATGGTAAAAGATCTGCAATTAGAATATTCTT